AACACGGTAAACCGCCTCTACCTAAAAAACAAAAACCTGCCGGCGAGGTGGGCGGCGCCCCCTTGTGGGTACCAGCGAACTCGGGAGGCTGAGGCCAGGAAGAATGGCGGACCAAACCCGGGAAGGCGGAGCCTGCAATGAGCCCTGAGATCCCCGCCACTGCACTCCCCAGCCTGGGCGACAAGTGAGACTCCCGCCTCAAAAAAAAAAAAAAAAAAAAAAAAATTAGCTGGACGTGGCGGCCGCGTGCTTGTAGTCCCAGCCTAACGTGGAGGCCTTGAGGGGGAGGATCACCTCTGAACCGGAGGCCAGTTCACAGTGAGCTGATAATCACACCCTGTGCCAGCCCCCCCCTGGGCGACAGAGCACGACTTCTGTCTTTTTTGTATTTTTAGTAGAGACAGGGTTTCACCGTGTTAGCCAAGATGGTTTTGATCTTCTGATCTTGTGATCTGCCCACCTCGGCCTCCCAAAGTGCTGGGATTACAGGCGTGAGCCACGCGCCTGGCCCTATGCCTAGCTTTTGAGTGTTAGTTTTTCATGGTAAATCACAAAGTATATAATCCAATCTAGGACGCAACAGGCCTGAGAGGAGGTTGGAACTGACCAGATTACTAAGTGAATTGAACCCAGAATAATAGTCTGTATTATTCTAAGCTTCAAACATTGTTCTGTAGACCTAGAGTCTGAAATTTTATGAACTAGATGAGGACACATTGATAATGTGTAAAGTTGAGAGGAAAAGATGTTTGTTTTTTAGAACATTATTAAATATTTATTAAGCACCAAGTATGTGCTCAGGAATTTTGCTGGGGAATACACATTGAAAAGGTAAATTTAAAAAATGGTTCTTAGAACAAAGGTATATAATCACTGTGACAAAAAGCAAATTATATATAAAAGAGGGGGAACAGAAGAATCACGATGTCTATTGCTTACATGTCTTACGTATATCATAAACATCATGTTCAAAACTGAGTTATTTTTCCTCCAAACTATTTTTTTTTTTTTGAGACAGAGTCTTGCTCTGTCACCCAGGCTGGAGTGCAGTGGCAGGATCTTGACTCACTGCAACCCCCACCTCCCTGGTTCAAGCAATTCCCCTGCCTCAGCCTCCCGACTAGCTGGGATTACAGGTGCGTCCACCATGCCCAGCTAATTTTTTTGTATTTTTTAGTAGGGACGGGGTTTCACCATGTTGGCCAAACTGGTCTCAAACTCCTGACCTCAGGCAATCCTCCTGCCTCGGCCTCCCAAAGTGCTGAGATTAGAGGTGTGAGCCACCATGCCCGGGCCCTCCAAACTATTCTTAATAGCTCTATCCCCCACTCCAAACATTCTCCCAAAATCAATAATTTAGCACCACATTGTCTACCTTGATTCATTTTTTTCTCTCAAATACTCAAAGCCAGTCCGTACCTTCATCATGTATCTAAATCTCTCACCATCATCAGTCACTACTGTAGGTACCTTAGTCAAGCCATCACACTTTGTAAAAAACATTTTTTTAAGAGGCAGAGTCTTGCTTGGTTGCCCGCGCTGGAGTACAGTGGCACAATTATAACTCACTGCATCCTAAAACTCCTGGACTCAATTGATCCTCGCACCTCAGCCTCCCAAGTGGCTAAGACTATAGGGATGTGCCACCATGCCTAGCTAATTTTAAAACAGTTTGTAGAGAGGGGGTGTTGCTAGGTTACCCAGGCTGGTCTTGAGCTCCTAGCTTCAGGTGATCCTCCTGCGACAGCCTTCCAAAGTGCTGGAATTACAGGTATGAGCCACTACGCCCAGC